TCTCAGATACTGGAGAGCATGGCATTATTTGTTATTTAGTTTTAAAATATCTAATAATGAATAAATAGGATGGAAAAATAACTGTGAACATATGCAAATATTTATGCCTTTTGAATACAGCTTTGTGTCAGGTGAGCTTGCCTAAGCGCCAAGATTTTGCTGGTAAAACACAAACAAAAATCATACTGAATTGGTTATTCTCTCTCGCCATTAGCCTCTAAGAAAAAATCCAGTCTGTTTGTCACAATCAACCCATACTTGAAACCGTAAAGAGACTTTTTCCTTAAAATGGATTAAATTCATTCATTAGAGATGGAGATGGAGAGAAAGGGAAGGGGAACAGAGGAGACCGAGACAGACAGATGCAGACACGCACACACGGGTGGGGGACATACCTGTTGTCCTGGACTAGCCCCACCAAGGAGCCGTGCTTGTAGAAATCCAGGGCATAAGCGTTCAGTGGCATTCTTCTTCCTCGGCCGTCAAACCTCTCTGCACACAGCACGGGAGCCTGAATTCCATTAACACCAATTGTGTGCAGAATGACCTGGAGAAACACAGTACTTCTTAGTTTGTCATTTATGTGGACATGAGGCAGGAGACTAAGCTAGGGAACGCAGGAGGGGGAGCTCGGATGCTATGAAGCAGGAGGAACAAGGTCAGGGCTGCAGATCAGTGAAAACAAAAGCTGTGGTCCAGCTGCCATGGTTCCCTCTGTAGATGCACCTTGCTTGCTCCAGTTTGGGGAAAGTCCCGCGGGCAGTGGCTGCGTAGATGGGGGCAAGAGTGTCCTTAAATGACTCCGACTTCCTTAAACCATCATTACCGTAGATGAGCACTGTGTCCGGCTCTGAACACATAAAGTAAGCACCCCCCTCCCGATGGGTGGGAGGACGTAACATTCTCCTTGGCCGTGGGGACGGCAGCACGAGAATGAGGAAGTCAGAAGGAAAAGGAGAGACCCGACCAGACCCCAGGGCCACTGTCCGCTGGGACGCCTGCCTGCGCCTGCCCTGTCTGGAGTGCACTGTCGCCGGGAATCGCTCTTGACACCCCTCCTGTCTGCAGGTGTACTCGCTTAATAAACTTCTTTCGCTTTGCTGCTTTGGCGTTCGGTTTCAATTCTTCGTCTCCAAAGACAAGAACCAAGGGCAATCACCCGCCGGCAGCATAAAGTTTATGATTTCTTATATTGTGCTTTGAAGTTTCTTCCTTTAGTGGCCATTTTTAAAGCCCGTCCTTCACCACGAAGGAAGACGGCGTCTCACACACATTGCGGTGGCGCCATCCTGAGCCAGCCTGGAGAAGGGCTCGGCTCCGCCTATGAGAACCGCTGCCCCCCGGCTCGCTGATGGCAGATCCAACCGACCAGCACCACACCCTTCTGGAAGACACTCCACAATCTCCTGCTTCTCCGACAGCCTGGCTTTCTGTGCTGCAGACGAACATAAATGCTTCCTCTTTCCTTATCACTGGTACCCACAGGGCTATCTGCAGGACTTTGCGACATTTTCAACAGTATCTTTACAGCACAGAGAAGAGAATGAGCAACAAAACAACTCACAGTCAGTAAGGTACACAGGTGTTTGGCCCAGTGTGGGGCGCGGCAGGAACGCACTGTTGGCGCGAGTGTGCGGGCTGCACGTGTGCATTTTATTACCCTATGGGGGGGTTGCGTGGGGGATCTGGGCTTGTGCAGAAAAGATGCATTGCAACTGAAGGCGGCTGTAAAAGTCTTTTTTCCCCTTGGGGACGCCGAATAAACTGTGTGTTGTGTGACCTGCGTTTTGACTTGTGACCCGTCACATGAGTCAGGTGTGGAATTTTCCACCTGTGGCATCATGCCAGCACTCAAAAATTTGTGGATTTCAGACCATTTCAGATTTTGGATTTTCAAATTAGGGATGCTCAACCTGTATTTGTAAACGCCCTTGGTAGTCGTGCAAAAATTGCAAAACATCTCAGTAACAGAAAGCAAATAAACAACTGAGGTTGTGCTGTCAATACCTCCACCGTGCAGACTCCCACGCCCTCGATGTGATCGTGGGCCTTGTATCAGCGCGCCTGGATCCCAGGGTGCGCGGAGACCTCCCGAAGGGAGCGCAGGCGTGGATAACTGTAAGAAGTAACTCCAGATCTTCAACTTCTGCACACACCTTCCTAAAACTGGCCTGCTCAGACGGTCCCAGAGTTGAGGCGTCTCCCGGGTCTCCTCCCTCACCTCTTTCACGCATGACTTTTCTCACTTTGTAAAACAGATAGTCCTCCTCCAACTCGCTATGTTACATTTCCCTGGGGCTTGAAGTGGTACAGGCTAACAAAGTGTTACAAGCGTTGTTCTCCCGTGCCCAGCTACTTATCTATTCGAATAAGGTTTCCGGCACTCGCGTCAAGAGTCGGCAACCCTGTCTCATTCTAGTAATGAGTAACATTCATCCATGGTTATAAGGTCCATTTAAAAAAGAAATAACCTCATTCGTCACGGTAAGATATGCATTTCCAATATAATAGTAGTTTTATTTTTAGTAATTACTTATAAAAATTTGTATTATACTTAGGTTGCTCTGATCAACAGGATATAAATATTAAATTGGAACATATTACCTTAGCTGAGAGTATCATAGAATGACGGCATGGTAAAAATATATTAAAATAAAATTATGTGGGGAAAGGTGGAAAGAAAATGTGAGTTCAAGAAAAAAAGAACTTCACAAAATTTTAAATCCTTATAAAAAATGTATTCCTGATTTGTTTTTAGCTTGATGGCCACAGCTGTGAATGCACTGGTGTTTATATTCCATTTTATACAATTAAAAGAATGGTGCGATGGTTTTATTTTAACACACCGACATTTATTTGAAACTGGAAACTGTATCATTAGAAACTAAGTTTAAGATAAAAAATGTATGTGTTTATTTAAAATGCACAAGCTGTATAGAGTTTTTCAAAATTATTTTAAGTGACTTAGGACTGCCTGACACGATAGAGGGCTATCTGATTTTGGAATAAAATGGACTTAACACCCCAGCATTGATCCATAATATCAAATGTAATAAAATGTATTTTCTTTTTCAAATTTTGTATTGAAACATAAATTACATTTCTACAAGCTGATTCCGACACTCAAGGGATTATCCGGCATCTTCCAAATGTGTCCAGTTCTCTGCCCTTCATTTCAGACGCCAGGGATCTGAAGTACGAATGATATTTACAGCACTCGCAGCAGCTCTGAGAAAGCTCGGAGACAGAGTTTTGTGCGCTATTCCCACAGCAAAGCCGTGTCAATCTCAGAGACTTCAAAGATGGAAGGAAAGTAGTGGTCCCTCAGAATTCTCTGGAACATTCTCAGGCCAGCTCGGAGAAACTGAAATCATGCTGGCTTCAAGGCCACCATGTCCTATTCTTATTGATACACCTGGATTTTTTTTTCTTTTCATGTTGGGAAATCTGAAATCCTTTACAAGCCGCCTAGCGGTACAAATCCATTCTTCCCCGAACACCTCTGATGAGCAACCCCCGTCTTCACTTACGTGGTCTGGAGTTTCCGGCTGAAGCAAGTCACCGTCAGAGATTCCAGAGAGACAGACGAACGGCGAGATGGCCACTCTGCCCTTCTTGCAGCTCATCAGGTGGGACGCAAGCTGGGAGTCTGCACACTCTTCACCTGCGAAGTCTGACCGTAACAGATTGGGATAGATTTGTTTTTGAAATCAGCCAAACCGTGGAGCCTCCCGTGCTCGCTCTGCCCAGGCTGCAGGGGGAGCCGCTGCCCTCCCCGGGCCCACGTCGTGTGACACTGGACGAGCTGCACCCACCCGGTCCGCGGCACGGCGTGCACGGAATGCGCTCAGTGGAGGTTAGCCACCAATGACAGCATCGGTACTATAAAAATTCATATTCTATTTCAGTTGCTCTAATCAGCAGGAAATACGACACTAGATTTAAGTTGTATATTCTTTTAATGGAGAATTATCGATATTACCTTCCTACTTTCTCCCACTGACCTCACGCTTGGCCTCAGAATCTTCCCTGGAACTAAGCAGCCGCGATTAGCAGGTTTGGAAATGGCACATGAGCAGAAATATATTCCCACTTACAGTCCTACAAAGCACCAGATCGTACATTCAAACCGGGTTCCAGTTTGCAGTTGAGGCATAATAGTCGCAGGCGCCCAATCCCCTCGTCTGTGATGGTCATGGTGCCCCAGGACTGCCTGCTTTTGTGCCACTTCCCACTTTCACAGAGCCCAGAAGCTCCAAGCTCCACCTCCTTGAGTGTTCCCACCGGCGGCTGTCAGGGCACAGTGGGACCAGGAGCGCACACCCGCGGCTCCTCCCTCTCCCTCCTCCCAGCCACCTTTCCTGCCCACATCCCGCTGGGAGCTTCCATCCAGTAGCTCACGAAAAAATAAGTGAGAGTAAACACTAATAGTGCTAGCCATGTGCCAGGCACGATTTTTAAGATTTTTTTATACATTAATCAATTAAAGCTCACCAAAACTCGGTAGACAATGTTATTTCTCTTTCTCACATATCTGTAGAGAAAACCAAAGCACGAACATGGAGTCACTTGCCCCAGATCTCGCTGCTAATAGCAGCAGAGCTGGGGTTTGGACCCAGGAGATGTGCTCTGTCAGTGGTCATGAGGACCAAGCATGCTTCCCACCAGGACAAAGAGTGGCAGGATTAGTGTCCAGTCTCTCTCCGTCTCGCAGACGGCCTCACTGCTCTCCAGGCTGGACCCAGGGGCCGCCGCTAGCAGGCGGTTGTGGGAGACTGTTCATTTCATTCTCCACTGCCCTCTTAACATGTAACAAACGCAGAGGGGAACCTTACTCGAAGGGAGGCTGCGTTTTCTGGGGCTCCACCCTTCTTTGGGGAAGAAAATATTCTTAGGCAAGACTATTTATTTTTCAAAATGATCCACAACTGAGATAAAATACACTCACTGATTTTTGACAGTGGGAGTTGATGTTCCTGTTTCGTATCAGCCAATTTGGAAACAATGAGCAGGAAACAGGCAAAGTCCTTCCTAATATTCCTGTTATATTCATGTAAAGCATCATCGAAATCCTCAGGCAGATCATCAAGGAACACCTAGAAGCCAGATATTTTTCAGAGAGGTATATACCTTCCTTAAAAACTGAATATTTGGAAGGAGAAAGTTAAAGAACATAACGATAGAATTCTATAGTCGTCTATTTATTCGATAATGCCACTGTTTCATTCTTTCATTTGGTGAAATTGAGGTAAAATCCATTTGTTGTTTCCATTTGCATTTATAAAATACCTTATTCTTTACTCCTGAAGTTTTTCTTTGACACACTTAATCAAAATCACCTTAAATAAATAGAAGTCTGTCCTCAAATGACATTAGACTTGTGAATATTTCAAAGACCAGGGACACGTTTGGAGAGCCAGCAACAAAACGGAGCATACTTGTATACCTAGAATCATCATCACTCGGTTGTGAGGGTTTTTTAGACTCAGTGGGCTCATTTTGCTAATATTTTGTTAATTATTTTTTCATCTATATTCAAGAAAGAGATGTATCTCTAATTTTCCTTTTTATAATGTCTGCCAGGTTTTGGTATTAAGGCTAAGTTTTGATCCTAGAGAGACGAAATATTCTCTCTTTTATCTAGAAGAGCACTATCAACTGAATGTTCCTAGCTCCCAAAATTCATATGTGGAAATTCTAACCCCCGTTTGACGGTACTAGGCAGTGGGGACTTTGGGCGATGATCACTCATGTGGGCAGAGCTTGCATGAATGACAGTAGCGCCCTATGAAAGAGACCCCAGAGGGCTCCCTCGCTTCGTCCGCCATAAACATAGCATAGAGACAATCGTCCCCAAGCCAGGAAGCGGGTCCCCACCAGACACCTGAATCTAGACCTTCCCAGCCTCCAGACTGTGAGAAATAAATTACTGTTATTTGTCAGCCACCCAGGCATTGCCATGGTATAGCAGCCCAGACAAAGACAAAGAGTTTATGAAAAGCTGGGGCTATTATTTTTTTTTATGATTTTTATATGATTTGAATTCAATCTTCTGCTTTCCAAGACTGCGTAGGATTTGAGGTAATGTCCCATTTTCTTTTCTGATATTTGTGTTTTCTTCCACCTCATTCTTTTTTTTTTTTTGAGACAGAGTCTCACTGTGTTGCCTGGGCTAGAGTGCCGTGGCATCATCCTAGCTCACAGCTACCTCAAATTCCTGGGCTCAAGCGATCCTCCTGCCTCAGCCTCCCGAGCAGCTGGGACTACAGGCATGCACCACCCATGCCCGGCTAATTTTTTTTTATATATATTTTTAGTTTTCCAATTAATTTCTTTCTATTTTTAGTAGAGACGGGGTCTCGCTCTTGCTCAGGCTGGTTTCGAACTCCTGAGCTCAAACAATCTGCCCGCCTCCGCCTCCCAGAGAGCTAGGATTACAGGCGTGAGCCACCGCGCCCGGCCTTCCGCCTCATTCTTAATGAGTCTTGCTAAATATTAATCAATGTTATTATTCAGTACAAAGAACAACTTTGGGTTTGTTGTATAATTGTTTTCAATTTACTTTTTATATTGTTCGCATTTTGTTATTTCTTTGTTATTTCTATTTACCTCAGGTAAATAGAAGGTTAGAGTTTCCAGTTTGTTTTATTTATTTCTTAGCCTCTCAAGCTGAAAGTTTGTATCACTGTTTTTTTTCAGCCTGTCTTCTCTTCTAATATATGGTTTTAAGGTTATAAATTTCCCTCTAAGCATTGTATAAATTACAACTTACAATTATTTTTATGTTTTCTTCATTATTACTTACTTCTAAATATTTTATAATTTCAATTTATTTATTTTTTATCATGTGGATTTAGAAATTAATTTTTTTTTAATTTTCAGTCAACTGAGGTATTTCTGTTTCTTCTGGTTAGTATTTACTTGACATATCTTTTTTCTTCATACTACTTTCAACCTTTCTGAGATATTATAACTAAGACATGATTTGAATAAACAGTATATACAGTCATACATTGCTTAATGATAGGGATACATTTCTAGAAATGGGTCATTAGGTAATTTTCTCATTGTGTGAACATCAAACTATACTTATTACAAACCCAGATGGTATAGCCTACCATACACCTAGGCTATATGGTATAGCCTGTTGGTCCCAGGCTACAAACCTGTCTTGCATGTTACTCAACTGAATACTGTAAGCAATTGTAACACAATGGTGAGTATGTGTGTATCTAAACATACATAAACATAGAAAAGGCACAGTAAAAATACAATATTACAATCTGAGGGGACCATGATCATATGTGTAGTCTGTCATTGATCAATATGCCTAAAATATGTGATTTTTTTATTGCAGAGCTGATAGCAGTGAATAAACTCAGATTTCATGTCTGAAAACATCTTAATTTCATCTTTATTTTGAAGACTATTCCCACTAAATGTAGAATTCAGGGTTAGAAGTTACTTTATGGAACACATTAAAAATATTTGTTCCATTGTCACCTAGCTTCCATTATTTTAGTTAAAAAGTCAGCTGTTGTTCTTATTGTTGTTTCTTTGAAGGAAGAAGTGTCACTTCTGCCCTAGCTACTTTATGTTTGGGAGGTTACTTTTTGTGGCTTTCAGCAGTTTTAGTTTAATATTTCTCTATATTTATCCTTCTTGAACTTGACTAAGGTTTTGAAACTGTGGTGTGCTGTCTTTTATCATCTTTGAAAAATTTCCAGCTACTACCATTTTGAATACTCTTCTGCCATTTTTCTACCTGCTCTTTTTCTGGGCTCCCATTATATATACATTAAGCTTTCTGAGTGTGATCCATGTCTCTTGATTTTATTTTTATTTTTTCTCTACATAATTTTATTTTTATTTTTTCTCCCTATGTTGCAATTTGGATACTTTCTATCAAGCTAACTGTCTGATTACTGATTTTGACTTCTGACATGTATATTCTGATAGACAGATACTGTATTTTTCAATTCTAGTATGTCCGTTTAATTTTTAAACATTCTAATTGTCTAGCAAAAATCTCCATGATTTTGTCAATTTTGTCTTTCTTTTCCTCTATTTTCTTTAACATATTAATCATACTTAAAGTCCTTGTATGTTTATTCTAATTTATGAATCATCTACAGGTCTAGTATTATTTCCCACTGTTCTTCCTGCTTATTGGTCATATATTCATGTTACTAACTTTTTAGGCTTTGTTTTTGTTTTTGTTTTGTTTTTGCACCAGAAATTATTTATAAAGGACTTTATAGGCTTTAGATGTTATTTTTCACCAGAGTGAGTTCCTCATTTTTGTGTTTGGCCACGAGAGTGAGTTGTGATCACCTCAGTCCAAGCACAAACTCAAGTGGGTTGATACTGGTCTGCAGTTTAATAAGCCTCAGTCCATATCTGCTTCGTCTCTGTTCCTAGGTCATCACTAGGAATGTTTTGAGAGTGAAGTTGGTTGGTCTCAGTTTTTTCAGCCCTAAAAGATTACTGAAGATGCACATTTTTCCTGCAGCACTTCCTAACCTACATTTTAATCTTCTAGCCCTAGATGGATTAAAAAACGTCTTGAGGGGGGTACAAGCCTATGCATAAAGGCAGACCCAGATCCTTTCCTCTAGTGAGTTTTTTGTTTAATTAATGTTACAAAACATTTGGAATTATTATCTATTTTTTAAATTCTTTTGATGCAGCCCCCCAACATTTCATGCAGATCTGTTAACCGGTAAATGTCCTGTGGTGAAAACTTTCTACATGTTTGTAGTCTCTCAAGGTGCTAGTCTGTGACTTCAGCCTTATGTGACTGCTGAAAAAATGTTATTAGAGTTTTTAAATCTCACTGAAGAGACCCTCTGCATATGCTAAATCCAATTTTCAACCCATTTCCAAAATTGACAAATCTCTGAAACAAAACCTATAGCTGGGGAGTCCTAACGCATTTTGGAGACGTCCTTGCCACTGTGCAATTTTAGTACATCTAGCACTCTTTGCTTTCACGGAGAACATTCTCTGTTGCTGTAGGAGTGACAGCCACCTACTGTAGCCAAATGGAAGTGGACCAATTTCCAGTGATCTTTAAGAAAATAAGTGGACAGGCCTCCACTTACAATCTTACTATATTTATGTTTATGATGATCTTCTTTTTAAAAATAGAGATCCTGACTTGTCTAAGATAAATATAATTTGTTTAAACAGAACAATTAAATACTATTCCAAGAATGCACATGTGGTGAAAAAGTGGGAAGATGCTAGGTGAACGACTAAAGTTGTGTTCACTGATTTGGAGGACAGTCTATGAGGACACAGATTTGTAATTCCACATCGTGGGGTTTGACAATAGAGATTAACTCTTCTCTTTCTGTTCCATAGCCCCTTTGCACTAAGGTCATCCGGCATAAACCAGCCTGCCGCACCTTCTCAGATTCTAGGAAGTGTGTGGTAATGGCAGCTGATGTTGATTTAATGATGGGGAATCATGGCCAAAGAAAATGCTGCAGGTTGTGAGTGAAACTGGAAGAGTTTCCTTGGTTTTGGTCTTTGTGAATCAAGGGACGATTTTTTAGGTGAATATTCTATTATTTTCTCAGTGAAAACATGATAGTTCACAACATATACTTCCTGTCCATAGTCCTATGTCAAGGTACAAGGACCCTAAGTGAACTGTATCTTCAGTGAGGGGGACAGTTGTTTCACTGAAACATTAACTACCTACATCTTTTCTTTAGTGACTTACTGTGATTTGATACAATCCAATGAAAAATACAAGTAAAACTTTGTACTCTTCCTCCAGGACTCTAAACTTTTGATAGATTTACTGAGGGAGACTTATAAATTACAGGTTAAATATTACACTGATTACAAAAAGAACAAATTATTCTATAAAACAAATGAACACTCCTCTATTAATGAAAATCCTACTGCTGCTGAATCATTTCTGGTAGGATTGATTTGATGATTGTAATTATCAAATTTTATCAAAATCATGCATTTTACCTTCGATTGATAAAACTTGACAGTAGCATCTTGGAACTTTGGTGGAAGATGTCGTCTTCCAAAAAGATGTGCCAATACCAGCGTTAGCTTTTCCATGACATCTTGAGAAAAACGTTTTGAGCCTATATAAAGCAAAGTATCTTCTTGTAAACGTGAAAAAAAAAATGTAATTCCATTTTTTCATGTTCGAACGGAATTTTACATTACATTTGATTTTGTGGAAACTAAAAAATTTATTACAAATATAGCAACTGAGGAATTAGCATATCTACTGACAGTTTTCACCTATGCCTTCTTTTTCATTCTTGCCACCTATAGCCTAGTTCGATCCTAGTCATCCAAAGCACAAATTGCCTTATCTCTTTACCTAGATTTTTGCCTCTTTAATCTTTCTCTGTGGATGATCACTAAGATCATCCTAAAGAATTTTATGACCATGTCTCTTACCTACTCAAAAATCTCTGATGAAATCTCAATGTCTTATAAACAAAAACCAATTTCCTTAGTTTAACATTTAAGGCTTTCCAAAATTTAGTTCCCAAATAACCTCCTGGCCTTCTCTCTGCCTTACCTTCCTGCCACTCATACTAAGTTATCATCAACGTTAGTTACTTCACTTCCAACAACACGTGTGCACTCTAGCGTCATGGATAAAAAGTTGCTACATTTAATAACTAGGACTCTAGAGTCAGACTACTTATATTTGACTCTTGCCTCTGACTTATTAAAAGTGTGAGACCATGGCAATTCATTTAACTTTTCTGTGCCTCCGTTTCCTCATTTACAAAATGATGCTAGTCATATTATCTGCTTCATAAAGTTATCAAATTTCCATACCCATGTTTATTATAATCACATGCACCAACCCACCCCCACATCAATAAACAAAACTGTCCTTCCTGATCCTGAAAATTATTGCTCCTCTTACAGAATTTTTGGGTGGTCAAAACTGGGTGGTCTCTCATATAATTTATAT